CTAAATGTGGCCATTGATGTGGCGTGTGGATTGGATTATCTGCATCATGATTGCGAAGTTCCGGTTGTGCACTGTGATTTAAAGCCGAGCAACATTCTTTTGGATGGAGATATGAATGCAAAGATTGGAGATTTCGGGCTGGCGAAGCTGCTGATGGAGGGAACAGAGATTGCTCAACAGTCAATTAGCTCCACAAATGTCCTAAAGGGTTCTATAGGATACATACCCCCAGGTTGGTAATTATATAGTTCTGAACTATTTCTCAATTGAAAGAATATTTAGTTATTTTTCAATAGGCCATGACACCTATTGTGTTAATAATTGGTCCATTTTTCGTGATACGTACTGTAGAGCGACACTTGGTACAAGTTAATCACTGCTGTTTAAGCAAATATGTGTGTTTTTTAATATACTGACTTGGAGAATGAACACTACACTGTAGAGTATGGTATCCACCAGAAACCCTCGACAGCGGGAGATGCATACAGTTTCGGAGTAATGTTGTTGCAGCTCTTCACCGGGAAAAGCCCCACCCATGAAAGTTTCACAGGAGATCAAAACATCATCAGATGGGTGCAGTCAGCCTTCCCTCACGACGTGATCAAAGTGCTAGACTCTGAGCTGCTAAACGACCCCATCATCCCAGAAGTAGAACATAACTGCATCATCCCAATCATTGAGGTTGGCCTCTCCTGCACTTGTGCTTCTCCCGACGGACGCATTAGCTTGAGGGACGCCCTTCACAAATTGGAAACTGCCAGAAAGACCCTTCTCAGCGTTGAGAGTGCCAAGCATAAATTTTAACAACTGCCGGTTTATGTACTGCTTATTGTGTGTTTATAATTTCTGCTTCTACCAACTATCGTTTCAGATAAGCTTTATTATGTTTTTTTTGTACGTGTGGTTGATTTTGATTCCTTTGCCGTATTACGTGCTATGTTTTTTTTCCTCAACGAAGTTTGGCGTTATGTCCTCCTCATTTGTATTTCTCTTTTTATTTTAATAAGATTATGGGTTCAACCCTCCGTTCACCCAAAAAAAGTCATCATCATAACAACAGTCCCCGATTCCCATCTAGGCAATTAGTTAAGTTGGACTTTGATACCATTTTTAATAACCAAAAATCATATAAAAAATGTTAGTGATCCCATAACCAACGCCAATTAATTGTCACACTCCGATCCTAAGATACATCTAAAATCAAATGCAATGATCTTTCAAATATTACAACATACTGAAACAAGAAGTAGATATATCACAATTTACACTAGAGCAAGTCATTCATCAATTATACATTAAAAGTTCAACAAGTTAACAACAATAAACTTTTGTTCCACAAAAATTATTCAAACTAAACAACAATGCATGGTACAAGAACCCAACTCTCAAAGCAGTGTCCATAATTTCTTAGATTAGAATTATCAATGGAACTGAGCATTAGACTCAACTACCACCAATGGGAGCTTATCTCAAAACAACAAGAATTTAAGACAACACACGCACTTGGTTGTATGAAATGGGTACTTTTCCTTCTGGGTATTCAAAAGTAACAAGTCTGGTAATTAGACAAAACGGTCAAATCACTGCACACCAAATTTGACCAAGCATCCTACGTATAAGTTTCTACATTGAACACATGCATGCTTTAATCTTTTTTCCATCCGAGTTCAGAAGGAAACCCCAGAAATCCATGAATTTTCAAATCACCGTAACATTGTTCTCTGTTCTTGCATGCATTGTTCTGAGTGTTAACTCAGCATTCACTCCAAGCATTGTCACAGACAAGGAGGCGTTGATCGCATTCAAATCAATGGCCAATGTCCCTCCAACTTTCTGGAACCAAAGCTCATCACCCAGCGCCAACTGGACCGGCGTTTCATGCAACTGAACCAGTGGGACTCAACGGGTTGTTTCTCTTGATCTTTCCGGCTTCGGACTGGTTCCATAAGCCACCATGTTGGTAGCCTGACAGTTTTAAGTCTTGAACTTGGCACGAAATAATCTCAGTGGTCCAATCCCGCGATCCATAAGCAACCTCTCTTCCAGCCTCACAAGTATGAATCTTGGCAAGAATAGTCTCACCGATATAATCCCAATGGAATTAGGTTTTCTTCGTGAGCTCAAAAAACTGATCTTGCCGGCAGCCAACTCACCGGTACTGTTGCCTTGTCCATTTACTACCTCTCTTCGCTAGTTCACTTCACTGTAGCTTCAAACCAACTCTGGGGTGAGATTCCAACCAACATTGGTGTCACGCTTGCAACCTTCTCTACTTTCGAATTGTTTCAATCTGTTCACAGGGAAAATTCCAGCGCCTTTGTTGCACAACAGTACAAGGATTCTAGAGCTCCGACTGTCCAACAATTTTCATGATGGTTCAGTTCCTCAAGGCCTTGGAAATCTTCCCTTCCTCGAAATGTAAAACATTGGTTTCAATTGGATCGTTAGCTCTGGTGACAATGCTCTTAATTTCATTACTTCTTTGACAAACAGTCGGTTAAGTTGGTTTGCAATTGACAAAATTCGGTTGGAAGTGCGTAATTCCAGAGTCCATTGGCAACCTCTCCAAGGTTCTGTCGAAATTGTACATGGGAGGGAATCGAATTTATGGTAACAATAACATACCTGTCTCAATTGGTCTATTCAGTGGCTTCTTCTACCCACGTTCGTCGTCAAGCCAAAGGTACTGCCTATCGCCTAGCCTGCTATGCACTTAGAAATGCTAGTCCTTTTGTTTGGTTAGATTCCCCTCCGGGTTTTGTAGCGGACGTCCTTTTCGAGGATGTCCTCTTTGTAATGGACTGAGCATTTGCTCCTTTTGTATGTCTTTTCATCTATGAAATGAAAATCTATCGTTTTTATCAACAACAAAAAAAATGGTCAATTCAATTTCTGGTGAAATCCCATCAGAAATTGGGCATCTGAAAGAGTTGCAAATGCTTTTGCAAGAAACAAATTGTCTGGAAAAATTCCAAACTCCTTAGGTAATATCATGAAATAGAACCACATTGATTTATCTGGAAATTACTTTGTTGGCCGTATACCACTTGCATTTTCAAACTTTCAGAAATTGCTTTCCATGGACTTATTCGACAATTCGCTCAACGGAAGCATTTCCAGAGAGATATTTCTAAACCTTCTTAGCTTGAGCACAAATTTGAATTTGTCTACCAACCTTCTAGGTGGACCTTTGCCTGAAGAAATTGTACTACAACACGGATTTTCTCGCGTTGGTTTAGGAGTATTTGAGTAATGGGAGCTTGGAAGATTGGATAAAAGGTAAGAAAAAGAATGCGGATGGAGATGGATTGAATATTTTGGAGAGATTCAATGTGGCCATTGATGTGCCGTGCGGATTGGATTATCTGCATCATGATAGCAAAGTTCCGGTTGTACATTGTGATTCGAAGCCTAGCAACATTCTTTTGGACGGAGATGTGACTGCAAAGATTGGAGATTTCGGGCTGGCGAAGGTGCTCATGGAGAGAACAGAGAACACTCAACACTCTCAGCTCCACCAATGTCCTGAAGGGTTCCATACGATCCATACCCCCAGGTTAGAACTAATTATACTGTCTTCTCACTGGAAAAAACATTTAGTTATATGTCCAGTAGTCCATGGCAATTATTGGTATATTTTGCATATTGTTCATATATTAAGTCCTGTAGATTGATATTCGATCTTAGTTAATCATGATTGTTGTTATAGCAAATGTGCTTGATTTATAATCTGCCGACTTTGAGGATGAACACAACAATGTAGAGTATGGTTCCGGCCAGAACCCGTCAACAACGGGAAATGCATATATATAGTTTCGGAGTGATGTTGTTGGAGCTCTTCACTGGAAAAAGTCCAACGACGAAAGTTTCACAGGAGGCGAAAACCTCATCAGATGGGTGCAATCAGCCTTCCCTCACAACATGATCAAAGTGCTAGACTCTGTGCTGCCTGCCTACTGAAGGCCCATATCTCATCCAGAAGAACTTACCTGGTCTTAATTTTCGAAGTTGGACTCTCTTGCACTTGCGCTTCGCCTGACGGACGCAGTAGCTTGAGGAAGGCACCTTACAAGCTAGAAACTGCTAGACAAACCCTTCTCAACGTTGAGAGTGTCAACTGTCAAGCATTAACTTGAACAACAATTGCACATTCATGTATAAGTTTACAGATAAGATCTTTCGAAAATTCGAATCTCGCACTCTCAGGGGCTCGGATATATGAGGCTGGTTTTTTCATGTTGCTGTGAATAACACATCAAAACCAATAGTCATGTACTCTTTCTAACTTGTTTTATTCCGTCATATTTGGAGATCGATCGATTCAAATTTCAAAAATTCAAAAATAAAAATAATGAATTTGACAAGCGTTTAACAAAAAATGGAGAAACACTCAAGTTTTAAATGAAGCCTTAAGCAGAGTAAGAAAATAATCAGTATAGACTAAGCTTGTTTTTCGATTAAAAGAATCACGTACATGTTTCTGATCTTACTAAAATGCAAGAAACCAACTCAAACGATCTAAACTTACGGAAAATGAGATTCAAACTCAAATGAAATAAAATAAAACATGTCTTATCAATTGACTTAATCCATACGTACAATACATTTATTTTTAAAAATGAATTCTAGGTTTAGGAAAAAAAAAAGTCCAAATCCATCTCACCCGGGTAACCAAATCACCGGACCCGCGAAGTACAATACTTTTTGCTTCGAACTTTTGAAATTTCAAAATTCGTAAGCCAAATCAGACCGAAAAAACAAACCGGTCCAAAGAAAAACCCAACAATTTCAGGTTTACAAAGCGCGCAATCTTTTTAACTTTTAAAAATCCAATTAAAACCCCACCGCAAAACCAAAATTTGAAATCCGGTTCATGAGAAAGTCACGTGCGTTCCCCAAATTTGAAATTCGACCAAACGAACGCGACAAACCGTTCCAAAAATTAATAAAAAATTAAACGCTCCAAAAATCACGTCAAATCAAACAGCGCGAAAAGCAGAAAATTTTGAAGCTCCTGAAACATGGCGCTCTCCCTTTCTTTCTCAAAACTTCAAAGTCTTCAACTTCCTCTACAAATCCCCATCTCCCCCCTCGCTTTCTCACACCTTCATCTCTCTCTCTCTCTCCAAGCCACAGCGAGTAAAGTCCAAAGCTCGGCACTCTCGGAGCAATGGTCTCTACCACTGTGGCGGAGCAAGTGAACTGCAGTCGGATCACCACTCGCGCAGCTGCCAAGAGGAGGGCGATGGCACCCTTGACGGAGGACAACCATTTGACTAATAAGAAGCGCCCGGTGCTCGGAGACGTTACGAATGTGGTTAGCGTCGGCGTTTCAGGGAACTCTAAACGGGTTGAGCTGCAGAAACCGAGTTGCTTGACCGAGAAGGAAAAAAGGGCCGAGGCGGCGCGTGAGTTGGAGGACCCTCAGCTTTGTGGGCCGTACGCCTCCGACATTTATGCCTACCTCCGCCGTATGGAGGTACTGAAATATCCCACCTTTTTCTAACTTTTCAATTTCTTCACTCGATAATTAGACTGGTGCCGGACTGTTCGATTCGATCTTGATATTGGGCTAGGGTTCTTGGGTTCTTGGGTTCAATTTTGATAAATCCTGCAACATTTTGGATTTAATCTCAATTAGGGTTTATGTTTTGTGAATTGGGGATTTTGGGTTTGCCATATACTGAGTAGTTGTTGTTTAGGCGGAGCCGAGAAGAAGACCGATGCCTGATTACATGGAGAAGGTTCAGAAGGATGCAAATGCTAACATGAGAGCGGTGCTTGTGGATTGGTTGGTGGAGGTTTCAGAGGAATACAAGCTCCTCCCAGAGACTCTTTATCTCTCCATTTCTCACATTGATCGATTTCTCTCAATGAATGTCGTCCACAAGCAGAAGCTTCAGCTCCTCGGAGTTTCTTCAATCTTCATTGCCTCGTAAGCCTGCAAATCTGTGGATCTGTTCGCTAGTTTGCCTGATTGATTCTGTTTCTTTTGATCTGAAATTCATGATGCTTTTTTAACTGATAGGAAATATGAAGAGATTGATCCTCCTAATGTGGATGAGCTCTGTGACATAACTGAAAATACATACAAAAAAGAAGAGGTATTTGATCTTTTATTTTTGGTTTTATATCCGATGGTTGTCTCTTTTTGCAACAGTTTATCAAGTAGATACATGTGCTTTATACTAAGTGGTTTTTTGGTGGTTGTAAAGGTGATCAAGATGGAGGCTGATATACTCAAATCCCTAAAATTTGAAATGGGCAATCCGACTACTCGGACCTTTTTAAGGTAAGGATGAACCTGACATTCAAAGAACTCACTCTTTTTGGTACATTGTTTTGGTTTCCAAGCTTAAATGACTTTGGCTGATTGATTTGCCCCTTTGGTGAATTGTTTTACAGAAAATTCACTGATGTTGCTCAAGATAGTTACAAAGTAAGCTTTCCTTCTGTCCTGTAACATATATATGTGGATTTGACAAGTTTATGGTCTCTTGTACTGACTGGTTGACTGTTTTGTGTGGTTTACAGACTCCCATTGTGCAGTTAGAATTCTTGGTTGCCTACCTTGCCGAGCTGAGTTTGTTGGATTACAAGCTTGTCAAATTCCTGCCTTCTTTGGTAGCTGCATCAGCTGTTTTTCTGGCAAGATTTATGACTCAAACAAAAACACATCCTTGGGTAAGGATTTGATGAATTACTTACGCTGACTTCTATTGTTCCATGTATGAAAAGCAATTACTAAGATACATTCATTGATTTCAGTGTCCAGAGCTGCAACAGTATACCGGATATAAGGCAGCTGATTTGAAAGAATGTGTTGTTGCCATACATGACATGTGCTTGGGAAGAAGAGCAAGAAATTTGAATGTTATTCAAGAGAAATACAAACAACCTAAGGTACTTTTATCAGAAATGTGTTTGACCTTCTCTTGTTTTCCAAATCTTGGAAACAATGATTCTAATGGAGTCATTTTATTTTTCGAATGCAGTTCAAACAAGTGGCACATATTCCTTGCCCTCAAGAAATACCAGTTCATTTCTTTCAAGATCTGAAAGCATGAAAGAGTGATCTTTTTGGCAAGGTCTTATCCAATGTGATAGGAACTGGCTTGAAGTTGTATTTGGCGAGCTCAATGAAAGGCTGGTAATGTGGCCAATTGCCATTTTTTGAGGAGATGGCATGAGCTTCAATCTGCTTTCAAGCCATCTTGATCAGTTGCACTTGAGTAAACTTCTCCATGGTAGACTTTGGACAAGCTGGTTCTGTACGCATCATTTGTAGAATCAACACTGAAAGAACTGTGATGCAGGGTTGTGGTCTAGCACTGAACCAAGGGGCCATTCCATCCCAAATGTGTTGCAATGATGTGTTATGAAGGTTAAGGAAAAACATTATTTGCAATGTGGTGGAGATATAGATTCGTCTATAATCCTCAACACTTATGTATAGAGAGATATACATTTCAAAATATAGAGTGGAGTACATTATTCTAGTTAATTTGACAATGCTCAAAATAGACCATGATATTTGTTTTTCTCATTTGAATTTTAAGAAATTTTTTTTTCCAACTTTTCAATTTTACTCTTCTTAATTTCAAAGTTATTAAAAAGATTTCAAGTGTTTTATTATAGTCGTGAAGTTGATGGTAATTATAAATCGTAGAGGTACATGTTTCAGTTATTACGGGCGATATTGTGTATTTTATTTATGATGATTCATCGATTCAGGAGTTAAAATCGTTAATATAGCTTCCATAGTCTCCATGTAATTTTCCATTAGATAGCAGAAATAAGTGTCCACTAGATTCATAAACTATAAAGAAGGATTTTGAGTTATTTTGATTTTGGTGTATGACTTTAGGATGGATGTAGGTTTTATATGTAAAAAAATAAAAAAGGATGATGTTGTAAATAATGTCACGTGGCACGACGTGATTAGTTAAAAATCTTATCGAAATTTATTCTTAAGGATTCTAAACAAATACTGACATGCGCTGCAATGAGATTGATTCAAAATCTTATCGGAAATCTAGACACGTGGCACTACAAAATTGGTTAAAAATCTACTCGAAAATTTATTCACAAAAATTGTACTTTTGGATAATAACTTGAAACATGACAATGTTAGTTAAAAATCATATCCGAAATTAAAAATAAAATTATTTTGGGTGGATTGAATTGACTTTTTAAGCTTTTAGTTTTCACCTATATGTAACTCCATATTCTTCTCTCACATTTGAATTCACCTACAATGTATTTAAAGGAAAACTAATGAAAATAGTTTGAAAACTTTGAATTTTAATGATAAGGACAAAATAAAGGGTAAAATGAATAGTAAAATAATTGACTTTTTAATGTAAAAATATGATTTTTCATTTAAGTGTAAAGTACTGGAAACTTTTCATTAAAATTTCCTTTATTTAAATCTCCCGTTTTCTCTTGATTTTTTTTTTATAAAAATTTTGGTGTTGGTATTTACCTCCACAAATCCTCATCGGAATGTCGAACTCCGAGAACACTGGCACAGCTCCGCCTTAAGACCAAACCTCCGGCATGGAGCCCCAATCCCAACAGCAGCAGCAGCACCACGCACCAGCTCACAAAGGGAAGCCCAGCCTCCTCACCTCATTCAACATATGGCAACCAACCCAACGCATCCGCAGCACCGGGAATTAGTGTCCTTGCAGTGGCTGTCTAGATGTGGACTATTACTCTCAACCCGGAGACATTCATCAAAGCGGTTAGAGATAAAGTTGCACATTGTTATTGTTCTTTGGATCGCGTTGTGCGAGGTGAGGATTTGATGCATTACGTGCGATACTCGTCCTTGGAAAATTCTCCTCCTAAGTCGAGGTGGTTTAAATTGGGGAAGAACCCAAGAAAAAATGGATTACAAGAATTATCGAAGATGACCAATGTGAGTGCAGATCCAACCATTTTCACCCATTTATGGGCTCTACAATTTGTCTATTAGAGCAATTCCACCCCTAAAGATTTTGCGCCAGCACCCAGCGCATTTATCCACTCAAGTGAACAGTAATAGACCTCAATGAACAGTAATAGACCAAAGCATCTCCACCCCTAAAAAATGTGTTGGCACAAACGATCTCCACCCACCCAGCCCATTTAAAATATTTTATATTTTTTTAAAATAATAAATAAATAAATAATAATTTTATTTTCGGATAAGATTTTTAACAAAATTTGGATGTATGAATGTATGGTTTATATGGACAACAAAATTAAGGATGAGTTTTTTGGTATTTTTTTCCCCACAAAAAGTATATGAAAGCTTTGGTAGAAAGTGTAGAAAATATTGAAATGTGGTGTAAGGTGGAAGATGAGGGTTACGTATTTATAGAAAAAAAATAACTTTTAAATTTTTTTTTTGTATTTTAAAAAAAAATTCTGTATTTTTTAATATTTTTTAATAAATTTTAATATAGTTAATTAATCTGGACCGTTGGATTTGAAAAATATTCAAATCCAAGAGCCAAGGCGCTGTCACGTGGCCAACGGTCATAATTCTGATCGTTGGGCCTTTTTTTATTATTTTTATTTTTGGTGAAAAAAACATGGACCGTTGATCTATGATCGGACAATCCATTTTAAAAGTCTAATTAAAATTTTTTTTACCGTTGGAAATCCAAAGGCATTGAAAGGGCCACGTTGCCTCCTTTCGGGTGAAGCACAAGTGGGTTAACAGCGGGCCCCGCCGCCTGCACCCTTGTCCCCTAATCGCGCCCACTTGCGAGTGAGATGCATGCACCAGGCAAATAGCCCGGCTCCTTGGTCAGTCAATTTTGAGCTGGCCCAGGTTGGGTGCCAGGCAAGTTGCTGGGCTAGAATGAATTGACAAGGTGCTAGCCTAGTTTTTTGACTGGGTGCTAGGCTATTCCACCTCTGGTGGAACTGCTCTTGTGATAATATTGTAGGGCTGTTAATATTAACTTTCGAATTGCCACATGTTATCTTCCTTGTGTGGTCTACCATGTGGGTCGCTTCATGGCGCTGTACTCGTAGAAGGGAGTTTATGGATGTGGCTTCAACTTAGCGACAATGTGGTCTCTTGCTCTTCGTCATTCTAAGGTTGGTCATGACTGAAAAATAGAAAAATTGCGCACAACATGGCAAACAAAGATTTGAGAATGAGAGTAAACTAACAATTAGGTTGATCTGATAGTATATATTATTAGTACAAAATATAATTATGAGAATTTTAAATATAAGATAATAATATATTATTATATTTAAGGCTTGACACGTGACGAATTTTGAAAGGATTGTAGTGTCATTTAGTAAAATTCAGTAGCAAGTTAAATCCCACCCAAATTATTTTCAAACACATGATGGCAGGCTGAGGTGACAGGCGAAATAAATATATAATATTTTTTATTTCCAAACTTTAAAATAATATTGGTAAAGTAGAGTATTATTATTATGATTATTATCATCATTTTTGTTGGGTCTTAATTTATTTATTTGTTTTTCAAACGTGGGTCTTTTATTTTTGTTGGAATGGCGAGTCAAAACAAAAATGGTTCTTTACTTACAATTAAGGAATTTTTACCTTTCAAACTTCATGTGTGAAATTGTTTATTCTCTTTATCATCATCTAAATATCATATAGCAAAAACTTATTGAATTTTGAAATCTTTTAGCTACTCATATGCATAAAAATAAATGAACCGTTCATCTTGAAGATATTACTTACCAAAATTGTTGATAAGTTTAATACATATGAATGACTAAACAATCTTCAAAGTAAATAATTTTTTGCAACTATAATCGTTAAATGATAATAAAGAAAATGAACGGTTTCGACTATAATGTTGAATGATAAAAGTTTGTTAATCATAAAAGAGTGGACAAGTAAGTCCTCGTAAGAGAGGACACGAGCATTATCCAACAGAACATTATCAAACATTAAGAATAATCTGTTTATTAATGTCTTGAAAACTTCGATAAGTGTAAAATGAAAAAGAAAAAGAAAAAATAGCTTGACCCAAATGCCCGAATGAATATTGCAAAGGCGCGTTTTGATATAAGCGCCTGAGTTTCAACTCTATAGACTAAACATTTGTCGGTTTTAGAGATTTAATTAAACATTTTTCCTACAAATTTGGAGTTTCATCTATCATAACTATCCTTTATTTGTACCAAAATTAAAGATCTTACCATTGCCTAAATTCCTCATGTCAAGAAAAAAAAAAATACAGAGATATTGAAACAAATTTCCTACAATCTAGCTGTAAGATCCCACATCGCCCAAGGGTGAAGATCCTGTAAGCCTTGTATGTATATTCCTATCTCTACCTAGCACAAGGCCTTTTGGGAGCTCACTGGCTTTGGGTTTCATAGGAACTCCGAAGTTAAGCGAGTTTGCGCGAGAGCAATCCCATGATGGGTGATCCACTGGGAAATTCTCGTGTGAGTTCCCAGAAACAAAATCGAGAAGGCGTGTTCAGGGCCCAAAGTGGACAATATTGTGCTACGATGGAGTCGAGCTTGGGATATGGTGGGGGCCTGGGTCGGGATGTGACAATTTGGTATCAGAGCCAATCCCTGGGCGGATGTGTGCCGACAAGGACGTCGGACCCCTAAGGAGGGTGGATTGTAAGATCCCACATCGTCCAAGGGTGAGGATCTTGTAAGCCTTATATGTATATTTTCATCTCTACCTAACACGAGGCCTTTTGGTAGGAACTCCAGTTAAGCAAGTTCGCACGAAAACAATCTCATGATGGGTGACCCACTGGGAAGTTCTTGTGTGAGTTCCCAGAAACAAAACCATGAGGGCGTGGTAGAGGCCCAAAACGGACAATATCGTGCTACAGGACGGGATGACCATGCTGTTTGATTTTTTTTTTCCTTCAATGAAGAAATAAAATACCATTTAAGATATTTATAGTAATCCATATATAAATTTTTGTAGTAATTCATATAAGGAAATAACATCGAGAATAATATATACAAACGTACCAATAAAAAATTTATGTATGAAAACAAACCTACTAAAACTGGAAATAAACGTATTAGTAAACAACATTGAAGAACAAAAGTAAATGTACCAATCAATGATATGTATAATATTAATCGTACCCATATGATACTAAATGGTACCGTAACAAAATCGTGAAAAAAACCTATCAATCAACGAGAACAAAACTAAACGTACCGGAAGCTAAAACAAAACGTACTGAAAGCTAAAACAAAATGTACCAATCAACGATATGTACACCCAAAAATTAAAAATAAACGTACTAATCAATACAAAACCAATATATGATAACCAACAATAAACGTACCATTATCACTAATCAACAATATGTACAAATTCAAATGTATACAAAATAATTATCTAACAAAAAGTATACTAAATAATAAACAAACAAAAAAAATCTAAGCGTCCATCATTTCAATTTTAGGATAAAAAAAATGTTTTGAACGAAAACAAAAATTAAAAGAGATAATTGGATAAATATGTTGAGCGAAAAAACCAAAATTATCTCCTAAAAAATAGTCCTCAACTCCTAAAATACATGAATAAAAAAAATGACCGGATAAAAAAAAATTCTCTCAACTAATTAAAGGGACAAATTTAGAAATCAATATGTAAAATTTTAATTTAAAAAATACAATTATTATTTTTAATTTAAAAAATAAGAAAGACTGATGTGGCCTAATGTACCAAAGCACCTTCATCAAAATTCTAAAAGGCATGGATGTTTAATAAAAGAAATTCAAATTTTGAGTGTTAAATCTAATTAACTCTATTGCAAAAGACACATTCCAAAATTTCAAAAATTGAAACAAAATTGAAGCAAAGGGCGAACCAAAACGTTCAGAAGCAGCAGAAACCCAAAGGCGCCAACTTTACTTTTCAAAATGGCGCTCTCATTTTACTCGCTACAAAACTCTCCCCCCTCCTCTTTCTGAACCTCTGACCCAAAACCTCGAAACTCACAGATTCGAGCAGAGGCAGCCATGGCGGACAAGGAGAACTGCGTGCGTGTGACGAGGTCGATGAAGCGGAGGGCCGAAGATGTGACCCCGGAGCAGCGGGCCACCAAGAAACGGGTGGTGCTAGGAGAGCTCACGAATGCTGTTGTTCCGGTGAATAAAAGCTTCGGGGCAGAGAAGCAGATCAAGAAACGCGGCGCCAAAGGCAAGGCGAAAAAATCAGTGCCCGCGAAGGCGGCCAAGGACATTGATGCGTCGTCGGATGACCCCCAACTGTGTGTGCCATATGCTCGTGACATTTATGAGTATCTTCAGAAGCTCGAGGTAAAGGGTTATCGAATTGCAGCTTTCTTTCTTTCGAACTGGAATTTATTGGAAAAATGGGAGTTGGGTTTTTCTTATTTTTGGGTTCTTAACGTATCAGTGATTCTGGTTGCACTGAAATTTGAATTAGGAATAAAGGCTGAAGTTTTCTAGTGATTGGTTTATGTGAATTTTTGATTAGTCAAAGATTAAGCTGTTTTCAGGAACTTCTGCAGTATCTGTGTCCTGGGTTTGGTTTGAAGTGGAATTTACTGGAAAATGGGAGGTGGGTTTTGTTAATTTTTGGGCTTTTTATTTACCAGTGGTTCTTCTGGTTCCTCTGAAACTTGAGTTAAGGATAAAGGCTAAATCTTTCTGGTGATAGTTTATGTACTTTTGATATGCAAAAAGTGTAAGCTTAATTAAGTAAGTTTTGTGGTCTATGTATTTTGGCTTTGATTTGAATTGGAAATTGGGGTTCTTTTGGGTTATGGGGCATCTGGGCTAATGGTGATAACGGGTTAACGTTCAGGCGGATGAAAATCGCAGACCTTCACCCGATTACATGACAAAGATTCAAAAAGATGTCACTGCTAATATGAGAGGAATCTTAGTGGACTGGTTGGTGGAAGTTGCAGAGGAATATAAACTCCTTTCTGACACTCTTTTCCTCACCGTTATGTATATTGATAAATTCCTGTCTTTGAATGTTCTCAACCGGAAAAGGCTTCAGTTACTTGGTGTTTCTTCAATGCTCATTGCCTCGTAAGTCCACGAATCAATGAAATTTTTAAGTGATGTTTCTTGTTGACATAGATTGAAATTTGTAATCTTATGGTTAATGTGGCAAACAGAAAGTATGAAGAGATCAGCCCTCCACATGTAGAACAATTCTGCTACATAACAGATAATACGTATGATAGGGGCGAGGTGAATTTTTGTATATCTATTCCTCATCTTAGATTTTAATGTATCGCATCTCCTTTGGTTTTGTAATTGTAGAAGTTTAGTTAATACTTGTCCTCATTGTAAAGGTGTTAAAAATGGAGGCTGATATACTCAAGTCCTTAAATTTCAACTTGGGAAGTCCTACAATAAAAACATTACTAAGGTAAGAAGTCTTGGTACTGTTTTTCTTGGACATATTTATCAATATGCTTTTGAGATGCTGAGTTTGATAGCTTATTGGACTGTTAACGTTCATTCACGTTTTGGTTTGCAGGAGATTCACTAGATTTGCTCAAGAGAGCTACAAAGTAAGCAAAATCTCTCTTTCTTCTCTCTTTTTCTCTGCTACTTGGGTGTCGGTTCATGTGGGAAGCTAACAAATTGTTTAGTGGTCTTTACAGGATCCTAACCTGCAGTTAGAGTTTTTGGGATACTACCTGGCAGAGTTAAGTTTGTTGGATTATGAATGTGTTCAGTTTTTGCCTTCCTTAGTGGCTGCGTCCGTTACATTTCTCGCAAGATTTATGATCCGGCCAAAGGATCATCCTTGGGTAAGAACTTGTTAGAGAACTTTTAACATCATTCAACTCAAAATATTGAATGCAATTGCTGAGTTGTTTGCTTATTGCAGACTTTGTCCCTGCAACGATATTCCGGATATAAACCAGCTGATTTGAAGCAATGCGTTCTTATCATATACGACTTGCATCGTAGTAAAAGAGGAGCGTCTCTACAATCCATAAGACGGAAGTACAAACAGCATAAGGTATATTCAGGCTAAAATTTTAACCCTACTGATTTTGATTTCATTTTCCGCACCATAGGGATGTTCTGAATTGCGTTGTTTTCTTAAAACAGTTCAAATGCGTGGCGACTATCTCTTCACCTGCAGAAGTACCAACGAACTATTTCGAAGATCCGAAGGCATGATTGTTCGAGTACAACAAGACTAGGGTTTAGCTGCAAGATGAATCTGGGAGGCAGTTCTTTGAACTGAAGTTTGTCAAAATCCGTTCTGGTGCCGCCGCTCATGCTAATCGTTGTGATATAATTTTGTAGGGTTTCAACTCTCGATGGTTTTGCTTAGATATTCCCCACTAGGGTTTTAATTTTCTTTGGTCAGTTGGTAGATTATTTGTTAGTGGAGAGAAGTTAGATTAGCAGGTTGATGTTGAATGGGTGTGCAAGCTTGTAATGTTCCTCGTGTTTTCAATCTGTAGAAAATTAGAAATGTTGTTTATAGATCCATATCTTTTTTCCTCCTTTTGTTTCACTTGCATTCTGCTTGAAAGATGTGTATTTGGCAATCCAACACAACATTTGGCACTCAAGTTCTAATTCCCCGTGTTTAGATTGCACAATATGAGACATGTTTGCAACTTTCTTAGTTACCTTGTATCAATCTTCTTACTTTTCTCATCCTATGTGTACTCTACTAGCCAACAGGATCCTCTTCGGATCCTTTTGATGAGGATTTTGAGAATCTGTAAATCGTGTATGTTTATCTTATATCGGACGGTTAGTATTTATTAGGTATTGTTTGTATTTAATTTTAAATAAAAATATTTTAAATGATTCTGACCGCACGATGGATGATGAACGAATATGATTCACGAATCTTTAGGATCTTTATAAAGAGGATTTGGCGAGAATTCGGATTCCTCCATTATCACTCAAACTAAGATTTTAATTATATTAAAATTCTTTGTTAGTATAATTAAAATTTAGTTTGTCAAACAGAAAGTAATTAAACTTTTAGCTTTGCATTTTAGTGGAATACACGTGTCATGAGTACAAGCAAGAGGGTTGACATATTTCTTAAATAAATAACTGTCAAGTTAAAAGTGTTTTTAGAATGATTGAAAATATTTTTCGTGAAATTGTTTTTGGATTCTAAAAGCTATTTGCAAGAAGCACTTCAAGTGCTTTTCCAGTATTCACTTGTATCTTTACTAAGAGTTGATTTCAAAAACACTTCCAAACGAGCTCAATGTGAATGTTATTTATTCTTAAAATAGGATTCCACACTTAAATCGTTAATTAATATTATTATGTGACACAAATAAATCATCCGTTTCAATATCATATTAAAAGCGTACAATCCATAAATAATTGGTAATTTGTGAAACAAATTAAGAAGTTATACATTGAGATATAAACTTGGAATATTTTGGGAGTTTTGTTGCTCGCCACCGCAAACTATGGTGTATGTTCACCAGACAAATCTATCACGTGTCCTTACTACCAACTATGGTTATTTTTAATATTAAATGTATATTTTTCAATTTTGAAAAAAAATTAACTAATATTAAGTGAAGGACACATAGAAGATGATAAGTTGTATGGTGAACATATACTATAGTTATAGTGTTGAGCAAAAATGCTCCCAATACGCTATGTTACGACCCCATGTCCCAAAAAATTTGATCCAGATACAATTTCAGTAACCAATATTGCACCTTGGTTGTTACTTAGAGCATTCCTAGTGAGGGGCTCTATATGGGGTTGAAAAGGTGGTGGATATAGCCCATTTTAGAGCTTCGAGGAATTTTTGGGGCTTTATAAAAAAATCTCTCCCAATGAGAGGCTATTTCTTTCGGGCTCTATATGGGACTATATATATTTACTTATGTAGTAATTTGATTATGCGATTTTTTTTGTTTACTTTTCTTAAGTTGATTTTTGGACGTTCTATCTTAATTTTTTTTTATATGAACTTTTCAACCTAAAAAAGTTCAAATTGTAACAAAGTTAGATTTTATCACTTATGAACCGTCCATTGAATTAGATTCTCTTATCTCAATCTCATCCGTTGAAAAATACAAACCTCCACTTCGCCATCTGATTTGATTTTCAAGTACAATACAACAATTTACCTAGCACTAATTGGTAAATTAGTAACATAAAATTTTGAAAAAATTTATTTGAAAATTTCACCCACTAATGCCCATGAACGTTAAATCAATTTGAAATTTTAATTCTTATGGAATTTAAAACAATCATTAATTAGCCAAATTGCAAGAAAAATATGAAAGAAAAAAAGAATTAAAAAAAGAATATAAGTGTATTTACAAGTAGAGAGAGAGTGATGGAATTTTGCACATATGGGTTGCTACTTTTTTTGTGGGATCCACTGTTTTTTTTGAAGCTAGATGTAGCCCGATTTTATGCTACACAAGAAAATAAGTTGCTAGCTCAAGTGGTGAATCTAGCCCATTTTTCCAGCTCATTGGGGATGAAATTTCTCACTAAGGCTTGAAATGTAGTAGTCTCGTGGAAGATAAAGCCTCCATTGGTAATGCTCTCTTATTAGCTGTGCAGAGAAAAACAGCCATTGGGCCTCCAGTGTGTGAAAGTATGACCTTTTTTCAACTGTAAGTAATAAAAACGACCATTGGGCGTCCAACGTATTCAGTGCTAAGGCCCTTGTTAGTTATGTAACATCAGTGTGCTAAAACTAGCCAGCTAGGCCAATTGAGATCATAAGCACTAGGCGATTGATCACCGTAATGATTAATTTTTTGGTGTTTAAAAATAAGAAAAGACGTTTAAACTCGCCTAGTCACCCATCTAGCTTGTCTAGACTCGCTTGATTCCTCTAAGTTGACTTAAGCAAGCTACGTGGATTTAGACGGTTTGGATGATTTTCTGACTTTTTATTTTATTTTATTTTTTATATTACCTAATTTTTTTAATTCATTATCTCAATATAATTATGTATTCTTTTATAATCTTGATTATGTTACAGTTGAGCCGCGGCAGCTGGTATGGCCTTTTGGTTGGATTGAGCTTTATGAACTTTTTACAGTTGGGCCAAACTTAAAGTATGATGACTTAGGCCATCTCCTACCGATGGCTGGCCAGAGGGCTCATTTTAGCCCTCTGGCCCTCCAAGATATTAATATTTTAATGAACAGTACATGACCATATTTGCCTCCGTCTCCAACTGAGGGCCAAAGGGCCATAGGGCTCGATTTAGCCCTGTCACAAAAAACCGTCTCCAACCGAGGGTCAAAGGGTCAAACATAATTTATTATTTAAATTTAAAACTACAACAACTTAAATTAAAAAACTACAACTTATATTTAAAAACTACAACTTAAATTTAAAAACTATAAATAAAATTTAAAAACAACATTAACTTGAATTTAAAAACTACAACAACTTAAATTCAAATCCAACGACTAAGTGACGTCAGCTAGCCATTGGTGGCTGACATCATGGTGATGTTAGCTAGCCGTTAGATTTGATTTTTTTTTTGTTATAAATAGGGTGGATATTGGGCTATAATTCACACAACTTTGAATTCAATCTATTTCAATTCAAGTTTGCAATGAATTCCAACTTTGGATCCTCTTCGGATTCCAACTGGGGGTCCTCATCCAATTCTAAAAGAGAAGCAAAATGGGCGCAGATGAGACGAGAAGATGAGGAGTCTGACGAAGAAGTTCAAGTAAGGCGTAACAAACAAAACATAGCAACAGCCATGGCTACGGCCAGGGTGTGTCAGCCAACTAAGGAACAATCTCAAAGGGGTGGCTCTATTGCTGGCCGTTCTTACAAACCACGAAACAAAGCGATGACACATGCCAATCTGATGAACAACTACTTCAACCCCAACTCGATGTACATAGAAGAGGATTTCAGACATTACTTTCGGATGAGGCGTCATGTCTTCGAGCGTTTACTTCATGATGTTCAGCAGGTCAATCCATACTTTCGACAGAAGTAGGACAAAGCAGGCCGCCCTGGTTTCTCACCTCATCAGAAGGTTACTGTTGCACTTCGAATGATGGCCTATGGCTCCCCAGCTGATTTGATGGATGAAACCCATGGTATGTTTGAGTTTACATGCCTTGATACTCTTGAACAATTTTGTGACATAATTGTTCAGGTTTACAAAGACGAGTACCTCTGCGAGCCAAATCAATAAGATCTGAATCGGCTCGTTCGCAAAGCTGAATACCGTGGGTTTCTGGGCATGATAGGGTCATCAGACCGCATACATTGGGATTGGAAGAATTGTCCCATCGGATGGCAATGAGGCTTTAGTGGAAGGTTGAGAAAGCTACCTGTTGTGTTAAAAACGGTTGTCTCATATGACACATGGATCTGACATGCTTTCTTTGGAGTCCCTGGATCCCAAAATGACATTACAGTTCTTGGGCGTTCACCCCTCTTCAATAATTTAATGGAAGGTAAATCACCTCAACTTGACTACTACATCAACGACCGTCAATACAATATTGGGTATTACTTGGCAGATGACATTTACCCAAAGTGGGCGATACTTGTCCAAGTAATTCCAAACCCTAAGAATGACGCAAAAAAGTTGTTTACCTTACACCAAGAGGCATACCAGAAAGATGTTGAGAGAGCTTTCGGTATTCTACAAACAAGGTGGAAGATCATCAGTGAATCGGCAAGAAGGTGGAGTCGAGAAAATTTGGACTCCATCATGATGTCTTGCATCATATTACACAATATGATAATGGAGGATGAGCGAGATGGGTATATTGATGGAGAGTCCGATGACGACCAAGAAGATCCAAATAGGTCAAGAAGGGCTCGTGCAAAACTATATGATGGACATAATTTGCCTTTCAATCCAAGAATTGGTAGTATTTCTATAAATGAGTACATGAGGCGCTATAGAATGATACGTTCTCGTGCCACAAACAAGTACCTATAACAAGATCTTGTTGCACATCTTTGGGTTAAAAGAAGCATGGAGTAGGCGTTTAAGTTTTATGTTGTTAAATGTTTTTTTTTTATGTTATATAATTTGTATGTTGATTAATGTTGTTTCATGTTACTTAATTTAATTTAATGTTGTATAATGGCTTAGGAAGTTATAGGAAAAAAATATAATTTAAAAAAAAAATATGAAACAAATTTTGTAAAATAGAAGTTATAGGAAAAAAAATATAATTTAAAAAAAATGAAACAATTTTGTGAAATAGAAGTTATAGGAAAAAAAATAGAATTTAAAATAAAATAAAACAAATTTTGTGAAATAGAAGTTATAGGAAAAAATGGAATTTAAAAAAAATCTGAAACAAATTTTGTAAAATAAAAGTTATAGGAAAAAAAAGAATTTAAAAAAAAAATATGAAAAATAGAAGTTATAGCAAAAATTTTGTAAATAAAAAATAATAGTAAAACTGTAAAAAAAAAGGTCAAATGCAACGGTTAGCTGACGTCAGCTAGTCGTTGCATTTGAATTTTTTTCTTAAGCATTCCTGTCGGTTATAACTAACAAGAAAGATGATTTTTTTGGCTAGCACCGGGCTGGTTGGCTGCATGCAGCCAGCCCTCTAGCCTTCTCCGATTTCGTGGGACCTTCTTAGATTCCACAGCC